ATCTTCGTGATATGGTTATTGGTTAACAATGAAGAAAAAAAGACTTACCCATGTAAAAAAAATACATAAAAAATCAGATTATAATCGATTCATTTTTGATTAAAAATCGATTAAAATCATACACCTTTTAATCGTTTATTAATCGATTACAAATCGATTAAAATCAGGCACAATCGATTATAATCAATAAAACATCGATATGCTACTGCTAATCGATTAAAATCGATTAACTTTGATTGTTAATCAATTCTACATCGATTATTAATCGATTAAAAGGTGTATGATTTTAATCGATTATTAATCGGTTACGAATCGATTCCGAACCGATTCCCAATTCTTATGAATCGGATTCGTAATCAACCAGAATCCATAAATTGATTGCCACCGAACAGTCATTAGTATAATTAGAACTTCGATTATACTGACTGAATTCGACAATTTTTCAAACTCATATTGCACTCAAATGACAGTCAACAAATAATAAAAATCTAAGCATTTAAAAGATGAGTCTCGTCATATTCCATAGTTCAAAAAGAAAAAGAAACACAATCGAATACGAATTTCATTGAACAAAACTAAGTGTATTCACATTCTTTTCTAAGAAAAGAAAGAAACAATCGAAAACAAATGAATTAAATAAAACAAAGACTATTCCCATTCCATTCTAAGAAAGGCACAAAACAATTGAAAACTAATTCATTTAACTAAACGAAGTGTATCAAAACTTTTCTCTCAGGAAAAAGACAAGCGAAAACGAATTTCATTGAAAAAAAAACGAATTGTATGGAAACTCCTTCATAAGAAAGGAAGAAAAAAATCGAAAACTAACCATTGAACAAAACCAAGTCTATTGAAATTTACTTCTAAAAAAAAATCGAAAACGAATTTCATTGAACAAAACGAATTGTATTGAAATTCCTTAATAAGAAAGTAAGGGAGCCATCGAAAACTAACCTATTGAACGAAACACAGTCTATCGGAATTTTTTTCTAAGAAAAAAAAACAATCGAAAACTAATTCATTGAACAAAGGGTAGTGTATTGAAACTCCTTTCTCAGCAAGGAAAAAGCAATCGGAAACTAATTCATTCAACAAAACAAAGTCTATTGAAATTTTTCTCTTAGAAATAAAACTAATCGAAAACGAATGAATTAAACAAAACAAAGTATATTGAAATTCCTTTCTATGAAAGGGAAAAACTGAATCGAAAACTAACTCATTGAACGAAACAAAGTATATTGAAATTCTTTTCTAAGAAAAAAAACAATCAAAAACTAATTCATGGAACAAAACGAAGTGTATTGAAATTCCTTAATAACAAAGAAAGAAAAGAATCGAAAACTGATTCATTGAACAAAATAAAGTTTATCGAATTTTTTTTGTAAGAAACGAAAACAATAGCCAAAAAATAAGTGATTGAAGAAAACAAACTTTATTGAAATTTTCGTTCCCAGAAACAAAAACAGTTTAAAATTAATTTCTTCATGGAAACGAATTTCATTAGAATTGCTTTCTAAGATTAGAAAAATGTCGTTGGAAAGATGTATAGATATAGAAGTTAGTGATATGGATGCCATGCATTTTTAGGATGACTTTTCGATCTGTTCAAGTTTTGTGGTTTTTATGTTATAGTTGTGAGAAAGAAGGTATTTTATAAATCTGTCTATAATGTTTTGAACTTTGTCAATTAATTAGCATGATATATTTGTATATGGAAAGTCTAAACGATTTTGATTCAACTCAGAGTTTTTTTTGTTTATCATGTGCTATCGCCATCTATGATTTTGACCTAGTTGAAAATTTTTTCTTTATCTTCGGTTATTCGTCCAGGTATCATATATATATATATGGTAAGACGCTTCGCGTGATGAAATCATTCGATATGGTGACGATCAGTTATATAGCTATCTCGCTTTGTTTTTATTCTCTTTTATATTCTTTGTGAAAGTAAATTGAGGACATTATTTTTGCTTACTCGAATTTTCGTCGTACGTGTAACTATCTTTTATTTTTCTAGAAAATAATTAAAGACGATCTCAGATGTTCTTTTGCTTATAAAGATTTCTTAGTTTTTTTTTCTAGATTTGTCTATTTGTCTCAACACTAACGTTGTGTAATCTGTTAAGATGGTTAAATGTGGTAAAAAAATAGCAACATCTGGAACTAACAAGAAACAAAATGAAAAAGAAAATTTTGAAGTGTATGTTCTTATGCGTGATATCGTCTCAGATGTACATCATGTCATACAAAGAAGTAAAGTGATTTCATCAAAAAAACTTCAAAAGCTTGAACCTGGCGATGAAATTAGTTTTGGTCAACGAGGTGGTCGTATGCGTGGTATTATTCTTATGATAGGTGAAATTATTAAAATTTTGAAATTTATAATAGAATGTTTTTTTCGTCTAGGAACAGGAAAGCAATGCAAAAATTCTCTATGTATTATTCAAAAAGCAAATACTTCAAATAGTAAAATGGATAAGAGTAAAAATAAGAATGTCGATGAAGCTGAAAGTAAAACAGATGATATGAATTATGCTGAAGCAGATGAAAATAATGAAGATATATTATCAGTTGGTGGTGAAGAAGATGATTCTGCTGTTGAAAATGATTCTCTTCATATCGATGAAGCGACATCATTAAAAACTATTGCTACGTCAACTTCTTTCAATCGTTCTCAATCAACTAACACAATTAAGTATTCCTTGGAATGTATGCAATAATGTTCGTTTCTTGTTTTTTTAGAAGGCACAGAACCTATTGTTGCTACTCAAAAGCGGAAGCTTTTATCCGATAGTGATAATAAACCACTATCAAAATGTTGTCGAAATTCTTACAGTGGAAGTGTACAATCAAATATGCATGTTACACTTCAACGACAGATTAATTCCCTAGAAGCTCAAGCTTTGGAATATCAAACGATGTGGATGCGTGAGTAAAACTTTTCATCCTCATTTGACCGAAAGTTATTCATATAGTTTAGTGGACGTAATAGAAATACATTTCCGACTTTAGGACGAATTATAGTTGTTAGGAATTGTAATATATGGTATAACAGTTGATATATCAATGTCTATCTATGTACGATAAGATAATAATTACGAAAAAGTTTTAGCAAAGCTTTTTTTTTCATAGATCAAGCCTTTTTCTAATCAATTTATATATTGTGACGTAGAAGGAAAGACCCTAGCTGATGCACACCGTTTTCAATTATATATGGTCCATATGTCGGAGACAGTATTCTAAGAAAAACATTCCGAAGTAAATCTTCAGTAGTGTTAATGATAAAGTGATTTTCAATGCATGCAGTATTTCATAGTATGAGGGTGTGTGGGTGTGGGTGTGGGTGTGGGTGTGTGGGGTGTGGGGTGTGGGTGTGGGTGTGGGGTGTGGGTGTGGGTGTGGGTGTGGGTGTGGGTTGTAGCTGTAGGGCGTGGGTATCAGTGGAGAGAGGCGTCACTCCCATACCCACCCACCAACACTCACACCCACAGCCACAGCCACACCCCCACCCACACCCACTACTTTTGGATAACCTTAAGTATTATGTTTATATGAATTTCTAAAACGTTCAGTAGAAGAATCAACATTCGGTAATGAAGTTTTTTATATGTTTG